AACCATGTCTATAAGCTTGACAAAGCTCTCTATGGGCTGAAGCAAGCTCCTAGAGCATGGTATGAAAGATTGTCAAAGTTCCTATTACAAAATGGTTTTAAACGTGGCAAAATAGATAAAACTCTGTTTTTAAAATCAAATGGAACTAACATATTAGTCGTACAAATTTATGTTGATGATATTCTGTTTGGTGCAACTAATGAATCTTTGTGCAAGTATTTTGCTGACTTGATGAGTGGAGAATTTGAAATGAGCATGATGGGGGAATTAAATTTCTTCCTCAGATTGCATAAAGCAATCTGAGAAAGGAATCATGATCCATCAACAAAAGTATATCAAGGAACTGATCAAGAAATACAAACTTGAAAATGCTAAGACAAATGATACTCCAATGGGTATAGCAACCAGATGGAATCTGGAACTTGTGTTGATCAACCTATGTACAGAGGTATGATAGGATCTTTACTTTACTGACATATCTTTCAGTGTAGGTTTATGTGCCAGGTTCCAAGCAAACCCAAAGGAGTCACACCTGAAAGCAGTAAAGAGAATCCTTAGATACTTGAAAGGAATTGATGACTTGTGTCTCTTCTATCCTAGAAGTGACTCATTTGATTTACATGGCTTTACTGATGCTGACTATGCAGGTGATTTGGTGAATAGAAAAAGCACTTCAGGTATGGTACAGTTCTTAGGACCGTGTTTAGTTTCTTGGGGTTCCAAGAAGCAAAACACAGTTGCTTTACCTACAGCTGAATACGTGGCAGCAGCATCATGTTGCTCACAAGTACTCTGGATAAAACATGTTAGAGATTTTGGTCTTATTTTTGAATGTGTACCTATCTACTGTGACAACACAAGTGCTATATGTATTTCTAAAGATCCAGTTCAGCACTCCAAGGTAAAACACATCCACATTAGGCATCACTTTCTAAAAGATAATGTGGAGCAAGGGAACATTAAATTGGAATTTTGTAGTACGGAATATCAACTTGCAGATATTTTGACCAAACCCTTGAACAGAGAAAGATTTGAGAAATTGAGACTGGAACTTGGAATGATCAAGCTGAATTAATTGCTTCTGAAGTTCCAAGATATGGCAAACTCAAAAATAATGGAAATAGAGCAAAAAGAGCATCTACCACAATTTTGGTGTGATAAGCATAGCTGAAGTGTCACCGTTGTTAACTACCAAAGGTAAGTTCATTAAATTGCTTAACTGTATAAGTTATTAAATATGTACATTGCACATATGTAAAAAGCGTGTTCCAATTGTGTTTTATAGAAACTTCTTTTAAGTTAATTGAATTTGAAAAGAAAAGTTTTTGAAAGATTCATCCAGTAATTTCAAATTTGAGAAATTAATTGAATTTGTTCAATTAGACTGAATAGTGAAACTTCTTAAATTCCTTCACACCGCTTCATTAATTATAAAAGCTGATTTCACCCACTCCTTTCACCTCACTGTCAAATCAATTAAACCCTTCTCAGTAAAAACCCTTTCAACCTTTAAAACCTCCCCTAAAACAACAATGGTGATCATTGCTGAAATCGTCTCCTCAGAAAACTCTCAATACTCCGAAAATACAATTCAAGAGGAAACATCTCCCTTAGCCATGGTAAACTACAAGTCATCCTCTACTTCAAATAAAAATCCCGAAAACCCTAGAAAATCACCTCCGAAACCAAAAGAAGTCGAAAGTAAGAGTGATCAAGGGGAATCCTCTGTCTCAAGTATTCTTCAACGGCTAAAAGAGTGGAAAGAGAAGAAACAAAGTGAGAAGTCTCTTGAAGAGCAAATCGAGGAAGTGGACGATTTTGCTCAAGGCAAAAATTCAGAAGAGACAAAAGAAGAGAACGAAGAGGAAGAAGAGATGAGTGAGGGAGAAAAGGATAAAGAAGAAGAGAACAATTCAGAAAAAGAAGAATCTGAAAAAGAAGATGAAGAAGAGGAGATAACTGATCAAGCGGAACTTGAGTCACAGGCTGGAAGGTATGTAGTAGGACACCGCATTGATGTAGTTTGGTGTAGGAAAGCTTTTAGAATTTCTTGACTTAATCAAGTTTCAAGGTTGGGAATTTCTGTTGTCGAGAGTTTAAACTATCTGTACCCTGTTGCTATGAATGAATTTTGTCAAAATTAGGGGTAATTTCAAGTGTTGTTAATGGGGTAAAAATTGAATTGAACATTGAAACCCTAGGTAAAATTCTGAAAACACCTACTGAGGGGTATGATTCTTATATTAAAGGAAAGGGAAGTGTCAATGTAGGTAACTATTTGACAGGTGACATTGTTGAGGCCTTAGGTGGTCAAAAGGGGAAGAAGGTCATGAGTCACAATGATCTAAGTCCCTTAAACAAATTGTTGTTTAATCTTGTGAAGAAGACTATTTTGCCTAGAACTGCTAAAAAGGGGGAAGCGTGTTTGATGGATATGGCAGTAATTTTCTGCATTTCAAAGAAGATTAAGGTTAATTTTCCCTCTTTAATGTACCAGCATTTAGCACACTGTATTCCTAGTAGGACAAAAGTGGGGTATGGAGCCATTTTGTCTGCTGTATTTGAGAATGTTGGAGTAGTTCTGAAGGGTAAATATGGGGCTTTGGATGAAAAGCCTAAAATGTGATCAATGAGGAAACTCTAGCTGGGTTAAGTTTGGAGGTTGTGCAAGGAAAAATTCAAAAAATTGAGAAGGGAGAGAAAAAGAAAGAGAAAGTGACAGGGAAGGGGAAGGAGAAGGCTGTGTCTTGGCAGCCTGTGAGAAAGAGAAAGAGCACGAGAATTTCTGCCAGTGTTGTTCCTCAAACCAGTATGGAACAACCACTGGAGTTGGATGTTGAGGAAAATATCCTCAATGGGCAAGTTGCTAAATTGGTGGATAGAATGGAAAGGGTTGAGAATCAAATGAAGGATTATGTTTTGATGCTGACCCAGGAAAAGATGGTGCAGGAGCAGGGGAAGGAGTTAAAGGAACTCAAGAAGCTGATGCTAAAACAGAACAAGGAACTTCAAGAGCACAAGAAGTTTCAAGAGCAAGAACTGAACAAGGCTCTACAGGAAGGAGTTCCTGGTGAAACTCAAGGGTCTTGAAGATAATTTGGAAGCCTCTGCACAACAGACAAAGGAGAACTACAAGAAAATTTTGGAGTTCCTTGAAACCTAGCCTACCCTATTCCTTTTCAATCTATAGTTAGCCTAGCCTATTTTCTCTGTTTCAGTCATGAACAAATTTAATTTCTGTTTTTAGTATTTGAACAATTAATTTTGTTTGTAAATTTTCTAAATTGTTCAACTGGATGATAAATCTTTTGGTTTTTAATGAATAGTTGGAACTTTGCTTATACTTGTGTGTTTATGTATGAATTGAACACTTATGCAGAAAGGTAGAATTTACTTGAGGTAGCTTAGCAGCGCTGCCATCAGTTTCCCACACTCTATGAATTGCTTGTGGGGCTGTGGCTAGATGCTTAATACCTTGAAAAACAGGACTTTTTGATACAGCCAAAAGGGGGAAAAGATGAAGCAAACTTAGAGGCTATAGTTGTTCTGGGTTTTAGTTGATAAAGTATCAGATTTCTCTCTGATATGATGCTCGAGTAGTTTAGTTAGTTTATCAGTTTATTTCTGTTTTTGCTTCTTTTTGTTTTATTGTTTAATTTTGTTTTATTTTATTTTTGTTTTGTGTGTGTTTATTTTCTGTTTAAAAAAAAAATCAAAAATACGACCTTCTATTTTGTTTAACTTGTTCTAGAGTTTGCTTAAGTTTGTCATCATCAAAAAGGGGGAAATTGTTGAAGCATAAAGGTTTTGATGATGAGGAACTTAAACTAAAAGCAAACTCATCAAATAAAGACTCTCTAGTGTGTGATTAGTCAAGGTGCAGAATAATCTTGGTGATTGAAGAACCATCTGAATCTAAGAAGACATGAAGAAGATCTTTATTGAAGAAGTTAAACAAATCAGAGGAAGAGTTCTCTAACAAGAACTAAGTTCCCTAACAAGAACGTTCCCTAACAGAGTTAAGGTTTTATTCTTAGAAATTATTGTAAATATGGTAAGTAGGTTAGTGCACGAAATTTATTAGAAACGTGATAAGTTTGCTTGGTAAATAAAATAAATTTGGAAAATAATAAAAGATAGATTTTAGGAAAAGATTTTCTAAAAAGATTATTTTTCTCTAAAGTCAGTTTATTAAGAAAGATAAGTTTTCTTAATAAATATCTTTTATACTTATTTTCGGAAAAGATTTTATTTCACTTGATTTACTAAAACCATGTTTAAAAAGAAAAGTTAAGTTAACATATTTATCTTTTTAGAAAACCTACATTCTATAGAAGTGTCACTTGTATAAATAGTAGAGAGCAAAATGTTTTAGGTTTTTTTGTGAGTTTATGCGTGGAGAAATCACAGTGCTTTAACTGAGTAAGTTTACCAAGCTTTTAACTTATCATATTAGTTTCGGATTTTGTGCATTGCTTACCTATCATAATAGGCGTCTTATATTTGTATTGGTTGAGTTATTTGGGTGATATTTATAGTTTGTGTTGCATACAGATTTGTGTAAGCTTCTTGGTGAGGCTGTGTGTTTTGTACTGGGGTGGTACGAGTGTTGTGTACTTTGATAGTACGTGCAGTCGTTTGGTGGTACGAGTGAATCTAAGTGTGGTGTTTAGATTGGGTAGGATAGGGTCCTATCAAGTAGCAAGTCCAGTGAGGAACTTGTGAAATAAAGGTCTGTGTTTAATAGGTTGTAACTTGGTGTTTGCCCTATTATAGTGAATTGTTTTGTGTTTGAAATCCCTAAGGTAGGGTCGAGGTTTTACTTCCAGTTAGGCCCTGGAAGGTTTCCTCGTAAAATCTGTGTGTTTGCTTAAGTTTCTATACGCATTGTTTATTTATCCGCAAAAAAAATAGTCATTAGGAACTCCATACGATTCAACCCCCCCCCCCCCCTCTTGTATTAATCGTCTCAACTAACATAGCATTATAAAAGTTGTCACCTTATACACAGACCCAAAACCACCTTCTCCAATTTTGTTGGTTATACAGAAGTCATCAGTAGCAACTTTAAGTTCTTTGTAGCTGTATTGCTTTACATTCTGAACTCCTGCAAATTCTGCCATTAAACAAATCAATCAGAAATCCTCAAACAAGAGAAAGTGAAACTAGTGCAGTTAATAATCTTGATAAGCATGGATTTCAATATGTTTCGAGTTTCGACTCACTGGACATAGACATCCTATATAATAGTATAATATTTGTAGTCCCTCTACTATTTCATGAAACTTCTTTAAAATAGTAGTTGAATTGGAAGCACCTCAGGAACCTTACGTAAAAAACATATTACATATATATTGGTAAAAAGATATAAAATTTTAATAATTACATGCTATGACTAAATACTAAGCGTTTACCTTCAGCAGCAGCAGCAGGAGTTCTTACAGCAGACTCTACTCTTTTACCAAACGAGCAAGGGAAACAAGGCATACTATGTAACCACAACGAAGATATTTTTCCTTATAACCAAAAGTTATTAATACAAAATTACCAAAACACCTGCAAAATAGAATTTGCTCAAACATTAATTAAATACCACAAGCTGGAAAATAATAAATACTGCATATTATATACGTAGTATAACAGTACACATGAAAAATCTATAAATAATTCGATTACAATTCATTGCAAAGTTTAACTAGATTGCTATGCTAAAACCATGTTGTAACAAGGAGGCAATAATGAAATTAGTAGGTGTCCTTAAATGAATATTGTACATAGTTATCACTATGCCTGTATATAAGTTTTACCTATGTTTAAGCCATGTGTGACACTACGGTGAGATGGGTTCTCAAGAAACATCAGTTCTTAGCAGATATTTGCGCTAACTGCACTAAACTGCACATAATACCTAGAAGAAGGGTCATTCAAATTACTGCCTTAAACCGTTAAATACATAGAACAGCGAGCAAGAGACAAGCGTAGACCAAAATTCCGAACTTTGAAAAATAAGAACCTTAAGTTTGGTGCACTTAATAACTAGAAAGAAAGCAATTCAAATTACTATTTAAGCACACTCAGACAATGAACAAGTCCTTATGAAAACCAAAATCATTAAAATTGAATCTAAGAACCTTACTTTCCTCAACTAAGTCAAGAAAACAAATTGGACTAACAAAATTTCTTCCGTTCTCAATCTTATACATTTTACACTTTTTTTTTCTTTTTTTTTTTGAAGGGTACATTTTACACATAATAATCATATTACAAACTACAGAAATTCATCATATTGCAAACTACACAAATCTATACATGTAATTTAGATGGCTCAAAATAATTTAAAGCTTTAAACCTCTCATAATAACAAGAATGTAATGAGATAGCTCAAAATAATTTAAACCCCTCAAAATATCTGCAAAACTTGAAGAATCTAGCTCTAAGTAATTTAAACCCCACAAAAATTCAGCAGAACTTGAAGAATCTAGCTCTAAATAATTTAAACCCCTCAAAAATTCTACACAACTTGAAGAATCTAGCTCTAAATAATATAAACCCTCAAAATTTCTGCACAACTTCAAGATTCTACATTTTAGTGCACCTTTTTTAATTCTAAAACAATCTCAAACAAAACATAACTTTAACCAGAATTTCAACAGAACTTAAAATTCTTATATGAGTTACATATCGAACTATCATTTGAAGCCAACTAAACCCCATAAACAAAACTATTACATAGAAAACCAACACAATCCCAAAATTTAAAATTCCACCCAATCCAATGTCAATCCATCATCAACCCATCATCTACATAAACCATCTTCGGATATCAACTAGTTAAGTTAGTTAAGTAATACCTGAGATCAAATCCCTTCTATATCATTGCCTTTCTAATCATAACTTTACACTCTACAAACTACACAAACATAAATGAAACCAAAATCATAGAACTTACTTTGAATGCTTGAATTGATTATGAAAGCTGTTCAATTTCTTTGCACAAAAAAAGGGAGAGGAAGAAAAGTCTTCAAAATGTTTCCGTACAAATTAAGGTGGTACAATTGTAAACTTGGGTTTCATTAGCAGACCAAAGAAATGTTAACTTATTCAAAAAAAAATTTTAAAAAAAAAACACGGCAAATGCGAAAAGAAAATAATAATAAAAAAAAAAAAAAAAAAAAAAGTAATAATGGTCAACGGAGGAATGCCTGAAATTCAATGTCTGCTCATCAGACTATCAGAGTAGGAGAAAGTATGGAAGACAAGTGTGATTAATATTTTATGTTTCTTTTCAACAAATTGACCAGGCTGTTGACCAGCTAATACGGTGTGGATTTGTATTAAGTTGTTAGCCAGAATAATGTTTTTTTTTTTTTTTTTTTTTTTTTTTTTTTTTTTTTTTTTTGTCATTCATTGATTTATATAGTATCATTAGTTCAACTTACTTCCTCGTTCTCATGATATATACGTGTCTCATTCAACATATTGGCATTAAGTTAGAATGTTATTAAATGTTGAGAATTTTGGTGTTCACTTACCTTTTTTTTTTTTTTTTTTTTTTTTTTAAATTGTACAGAATTTTTATTTATTTTTTTTTTTTTTGGAAGAAAGAATAATTTTTCTATACTTAATATCCTTTCCTTAATGTTTGCTACTAGTCAATCAAATTTACTTTAGTTCAATAAAAGATTAAATATATCAAATTGTTTATTTGCTTAAAGGATAACAAATAAATAATGGGAAATTCTACATAATACCCCTGAGGTATGACTATTCCAGGTTGTGACCCTCCCTTTTAAAAGTTCCACGATATAACTTCAAGGTTCCGTTAGTGATTAAGTTGTACTCCTTTCGTTATCCTTCCGTTACATGTTGCCATTAGTGGGGCCCACTTTACACCTATTTAATTTTTTTCGCGATTTTCGTGCTAAAAAAATGTCCCATTAAAGGTTTTAGAGGTCATTTTAGGGCTAAAGGGATCAAATTAAGCTTGGATTTTGCAAAAAAAAAAAAAACGTAAAAGCCTCGTTTTGTGAATTAGAATTCTCATAGTTAAATTTAGAATTCATAAAACAGGGCTTTTACGTTACATTTTTGCAAAATCTGAACTCAATTTGGATCGTTTAGGTGCTAAAATGACCCCTAAAACCTTTAATGAGACATTTTTTAGCACGAAAATCAAGAAAAAAAATAAATAGGTGTAAAGTGGGCCCCACTAACGACAACATGTAACGGAGGGATAATGGCAGGGGTACATCTTAATCATTTTTGGGACCTTGAGGTTACAGCGTAGAACTTTTCAAAGGGAGGGGTATAATGTGGAATAGTCAATACCTCAGGGGTATGGTGTAGAATTTCCCACAGATAATTTAAGGATCGGTTATGTATGGATTTGATAATATTAATAGGATAATGCATGATTATTATAATCATGATTATGAAAAATCTTTGTAATCTTTTTTTTATGTTGTATAATTTTTTTTTACAAAAGATTTTACATACCCAAGGTTCACAGTGTGCCTGGTCTATAAATGATTCAATTAAAGCCCAAGGTCAAGGGCCAAAATATCCAATCCATGCCAAGTCAAGTCAATGGCGTGGTCAGTCCACTTGGCCTCAAGCCCATTTCTCCTCATTATGTAAGGTATAAAAGCCTTCACTCCTCTTACATTGCATTCATTCACATAAGCCTCAAGCAATTAATTCTCTTGCATAGCTTTCTCTCTCTACACATTGTACAGACTTCGCCATCGGAGGGGCCTTCCTCGGCACAACCCCCGAGGCCAGTTTACGTGTGTTCGATGTGCAGGAAACCCTCGGCTCAGCATTACTTGGACCGAGCCAGTCTTCAACCACTGCAAAGGACCTTCAGCAAGGTCCCATTGTTTTCACCCGAAACAATTTTGCGCCGTCTTAGGAGGAGAGTTCATGGGTGGTGGGGGAACCCTCGGCATAACCCTGCCTTCAGTAGGCTCCCTTATGTTGATGCCTGGCATTGGTCGGACTGCAAAGTTGTTGGGGCCCAACACTGTCAATCTCCTTCTCCTCTTCCTTAGAGGTTGCTCGTCCATTTCAGAATTCGAAGTTTCAGAATCTGAAAGATCTTCACAGGTGAATGGAGCCTTCCCTTCTCTCCTGTCTCTGACCCCTGGCTCAGCAGACTTTAGAGAACGAGGGGGGCAGAAAGTGAATAAACTTCATTAAAAAAAAAATGCCAAGTCAGGGTTAGGAGAGCTTGTCGAAGCCTTCGGCGTAGGAGCCTCTTCAGATTGAGCAGCCCCACAATTGAAAGAGGGGATCTCTCTTCGCCCACCAAGGCTTTTGGCTCAGGTACTCTTGGGCTGGGAAAATTTGAAACATGTGTGCATGGAGGTGCAAGGCACAGTCTTTCGGGTCTGTGATCTTCGGCGCGTTGTTAGTTACTTTTCTCTCAACAGTGATCCCTAAGCGCCGATAGTCAATTTGGGCCTCACCCTCGTGCAGCACTGAAAAGCAAAAAATTCAAATTGCAGCTCGTATCTCTGGATCCAAGAACATCACTTTCACTTTCAGCCTTCTCTTTCATCTGGTACTAACTTAACCTTTGGACGCAAAACTCTGAACAACCAAAGCTTCTGTTTCTACGGGTACCGGGCGTGCGGTGGACTAGTCTTGGAGTTGTAACTCTGCTGTAGGACACAACTAAAAACCCCAAAATAGTATCCTACTTACTAGTCAATGTATCAATAGCGTTAAGTGGCAAGCAACACTAATGATATGTTGTGGGTGGAATGGAATTTATTAGTTACTCTTGTTTATATATACTACATTTCTGTATGTATATGAGTTTGTTAAATTGTTTGAGTAAACAATATGGTTTGACATTTTTTTTAATCTCACTTTTGCTAAAAGAGTCCTTTTTCATTTTAGTGTTGATTTGAGAAAAATATTTGCTCAACTTAACTATTATACGATTGATGTGGAAAATCATAACTATTACTTTACTAAGTTTACCTATAAACTAGTTAGTGACCCAGACGATGCCCCAAGTTTCTTTCTTCTCTTTTTTTTTTTTTACTATTTTTTATTATGGAAGAATGTGGATATTACTTAAATACTTTTTTTTTTTACGTTGGTATATTTAAACTTTAATAGGAAAATTTTCAATAAATAAATCACATTAAGTACATATCGGTTACAAATTAAGTGGGTCAAAGCAATTTAAATACATTGTAATTATTCATCGTTCTAATTGAGCTCAAAATAAATACAATTGGTTACAAAACTTATTTTGAGTGATGAAAATTAATTAAATTATTTTACAATTTATTCTAAATACAATTAATTAATTTATCATACAATTTATTGATACATATTTAACAAGTACATGTAATCGATTATATTATGTGGCAGTTTAATCATAATCGATGACGTGTCTAAATGAGAAAAAGAAAGTGATATGTGACGATATGACACTTCTTGCCTTTGAGTTTTAATAATAACATTGATATCCATGTGAAGAATTACAAAGGGTATACAAAATATTACAAGATGATAGTGGTCTAAAGATATATGATAATCATGATTATAATAATCAATTATCCTATTTATCATCATAACCTGAACAATAGTAAAAATAGGAGAATTACAATTTTATTAGGTGTAATAATGCATTTTTTTTATAAAAGGATTTTAATTTGTACTAATTATCACTAATTGATTGTCGCTAAACAGCAACATTGTACATTATAACCATAAAGAACACATCTATAAATGACAAAAGGATATCTCTTTCCTCTTCATGGATCGCAACAATCATTATCGATTTTACACGGAGTTTTTATGGATTCACATTGTGATCTCGAGTCATTGATTCTTATTGGGATACCTGCATCAAATTTTATGAAGGGTTGGAACAAATTAATCTTCTTTTACAAGTTCTTTTACATGGTGTACATGTGTAGACACTTAAAAATGTCTCCCTAAAACCAAACCCGATGATGAATAACATTTCACCCTTATTATTGGTCGGGTTAAATATTTAATCTTTGGAGTGCATAAATCCATATTCATTCCCAATACATTTCATAAACTAATCCAATTCCTAGCTCATTTTCCTAAACCATAACTTACTTTGCACTTTTCGTATCCACATCACTAAACCGAGAGAAACTGATTTTTTGGCCCTATAATATTGATCCAATTATTTTTTAGTATTAAAGGCCTTTCAATAATGTTTCTAATGATATATCATAAGTCCAATTCCGATTTAAAACGAAGAAGATATGAGAGAAATAGTAAACTCGGCCCAAAACCAACACCCTTTCTTTAAAATTGCCATATCTTAAAATATACAAATTATTTTGACGTGATTCTAAATAGGTTGAAAAGTATACTTGATAAGATTTCCAATGATATATTATATGCCTTATTCTGAGTAACGGATCAAAAGTTATCGTACTTTTAAAAATGCGTAAAAAAACTGGAATTACTGCGTAATAACTACATTTGCTGTGTCAAGGCAATTGCTGATGTGTGACGCTGCCTGGTACTGTGACACGGTATTTTGCATAGTGTCGCATACCGTGACACGGTGCATTCCCGTATCTTTTTCGCGCTTCTTTTCTCACGCGCTGACACAAATCTAGAAAAATTTTACACTATGACACGACACCATGTGCCGCGTCACGGTGGACATTGCCATGTCGCAGCATCCTTTTCTGTGTCACGTGACACATGCACACATCCTTTGCCGTGACATGGGATTTTTTTCGTGTTTTCTCTGCGTACACAACTTTACGTGCTTTATCATTTTAGGGCAAAATAGTGCACCGCGACACAATAATCAGTACCGTGTCATGGCAGACATTGACCGTGTCATGGCGCCCCAAATTAGGGTTTTTTTTTAAATCTTTTCTAGAGTTTTGTGTGATCCATCTACTCATTTCCTCTAAATACGAGCCTCCTTTCTGAAGTTCGGGGTACCAAATCATTCTCTCTACCTCTTTTCTACACCAAAAATCATTCTCTTCTCTCTATCTCATATTCTAAGCCTTAAACCTATATTCCTAATAACATCACTCCTTCCTTAGCACTCCAATGAGTCCATACAACACCCGATATTTTGTCCTTAAACCAAGGCGTGAAAGGTAGAATTAACTGAAGGTTTGGACCAAATCAACTCTACTTTTATTTAATTGTTTCAATTTGGTTTATATTTTTATTGAATTTACTAACAATTTATTCATGATGTAGCAATTTAAAATGTGAGTAATTAATTAATTTAATTACTTATTTTTATTCTTGTTGCTAGTATCATGATTAGGTTTATTATTATTTGATTTGACTAACGTTATTATGGTTAAATTGCTTCCAATATAATGTTTATTCTGTTATTATTATTGATCATCATATTGCATGTTTAAAGGGAATATGTAATTGAAAATTATCACGCCTAATAAGATATTTTGGACGACCGGTTTAGGTTCCTTTTTTAATCTTGTTATTAATTGAAGTGATCACATATTTTTTAGAATTATATGTTGCATTAATATTC